GGATCTGCATGTGATTACTTCTGGCAACTGCTTCTCTTGTGGTCAGGTTGCTTGCAAATTGAGCACTTATTCATCTTCTGGGGAACCTCAGAGACTGATGGAATACGCTTAACTCTTTTTCTCCCCTTTGCTGTCTTCTTGAATGTCGGATGGATGATAATGTCAGCCAACTTTGGTGGCACTACCCACTGCTCTTCTGAAGGCACTGGATATATCGTTTCTGAATAAACTAGCATGTAGTGATTTTCCATATAGAGAAGGGAGCAAAGTTCCATGTAAATTCTTGAACCAAAATTTGGCTTCCGTTGGTGTTTCAGTACTGCTAGTGCATGAGGACAAGGTAAATGTTGAATGTCAAGCACTTTACAGCTGCAAGTTTTACTAACAAGGTTAACTAGGGCATCTGGACCATAGCCGCGCATAGTAAACTCTTGAGCATTAAGAGGATAGGCAAACAGTGCATTTGACAGTTTCATACATTCTCACAATAATTTTTCAGCTGACATAACAAGGGTTGTAGTAAAATTATCTAACTTTGTACAATGCTCATGGAACCACCGTGACAATGTCCTCTGGATTGCATTAAAAAGTGCAACTATTGGAAATTCTTTTTCTATTAACAACTTCGAATTTATGGACTTGGCTATGTTCGTGGTCATGACATCAAACGTTCTTCCAGGAAAGTAAGCTCTACTCCATCGCTCGAAACCAGCATCATGCTCAAGATACTTAGTAACTCTATCATCCTTGATTTGGATTTGCTGGAAGTGCTCCTCGAACTCATCAATCCGATAAGCTTTTGCTGCCATATAGTATGTCTGAAGAAGGCCAACACACTTAAACTTTTGTTTTAGGTTCTCACCAAGGTGCCTCATACAAAATCCGTACTGTGCTTGACGGTAAATAGTGGCAGTCCCCTTCTTTATATAGTTGTGCCTATCGGATATTATGCACAACTTATCACTGTCAGGCACTATCATATGTAATTGCTAAAAAAACCAAGTCCATGACTTGTCATTCTCAGAGTCAACCACACACCATGCAACATGATATGTGTGATTCTCTCTGTCCTGTGCAGTGGCCACCAATAATGTATCTCTATACTTTCCGGTCAAAAAGCAACCATCAACAGCCAACACCTTTCTCATGTTTACAAAACCCCTTATAGCAGAACCGTAAGCAACAAAAAAATATTTAAATATCATATTCCTGTCCCACTTCAAAGCAGTCTTGCTACCTTGGTTTGTCAACTCAAGCATCTAATGGTATGCTTCTAATAATGCGTACCCGTGCTCCGACGTGCCCCTCACAAAATCTTGTGCATGTTGTCGCCCTTTCCAGCATTTCCAGTAACTAATAGCACATCCCATCTCTGTGCACACAAGTCTCTGAATTTCTTTAGGAGATGGACCTTTCCCTTCAACGAATTGACTTTTGACAAATTGTCCAATAACATCAGCGGAGGCTTGTCGATACTCATCTGAAATATGTCCCAAACCACATGTGTGCTCACGGGTATATGTGCTAAGAATAAATTTTTTCGACTCCGCCAACCTTCTACAATAAACCCGCCACTTGCACTTTCAGTCATGACATGCAACCGTCACAATCAATGAATTTGACTTTTTGGTGATGAATTCAAAATTACCTCTCACAGCAACAAGTTTTAGCTTCCTCACCACTTCCTCTTTGTTGTCAAATAAATACCCTATGTGCAACTCCGATCCATCCGTAAAAAGATGAGCTAGTTCACTACTGCCTACAATTGCTCCCTCTGAACCTGCATAAACGACCTTAGTGTTCTCTTCCTCACAAACTACACCTTCTGCATAATCTGTATTTAAAGGAATCTCTACATCTACCGGAACATTTACGGGGTCCTCCTCCTCAACATTTTCATTTTGCCCTCCATGACTAACCTCTTCTACAGTGTCCTCCTTACCACCCAATTCACCGTCTACTCTTGATTTTTCAACTAACAAATCAATGCCCTCGTAGTTCAAATTAAAACCAGGCAAATCTCCGCCAACTTTCTCATTATCCCTTTCCTTTGAACCAACTTCCAACGGTTTTTCTACAAAAGAAACCCTTAAAATCGGTCTCGAACCATTATTAGCCACATCAATTATATATAACTTCACACTTTCATCCGACTTTAATATAGCAGGAGGTACCTTATAATGTTCAGGAACTCTGCTTAAAACATACTTCACAACTATATCACTACGTGAGCAACTCAAATCACCTCCTCTAATTATTTCATCAATCAACTCATCAAAACTAACCTCTGTGCTTACAACAATTGGTATAACTTCTTTGCTCTTCCCAATCCACTTCCAGCTACTTTCTTCCTCCACCCACTCACCAAAATATTCAACACCCAAAACAACTTGTCCCATGTCTAATAATAGTCAACTACCTATAATGCAAGAAAAAAAATATTCTTAACTGATGTACTAAGGGTTGAAATATTTTAAAAAGCATATGTACAGTCGCTTGACAGATCTGGTGTATCGCTTAAGCGATCTGGTATATCATTTACTGGATCACTTAAGCAATCCAGTATAAATAACCATGATCGCTTAAGTGATCTTATGCTACATACCTGATCGCTTAAGCGATCTATCTGCTGCATTACCCGACGTACTAGATCACTTAAACGATCTATCTAATACATTACCAGACGTACCAGATCGCTTATGCGATCTATCATATCCAAAACACATTTTCAGTCATCTCCACCTACAATCGGTGCTACCATCCCCAACTACCCACAATGCAAGAAAATTCTCAACAAATTTCACTCCTTTCAACTTCAATTACATCAAACACAACCCAACAACCTAAACAACTAAATCAAAATCATAACCCAAACCCAATCCATCATTAAATCTTTGTAAATTGAAATATAAAATCAAAAGGGGAGATACACATACCTGGACGAAATGTCAGGAGGAGGAGGAGGAGGATTTGTGTTGGAGAAGATGTTAATGGCGGAGGAATGCGTTAATGTGGCGAGAGGAAGAAGAAGAAGGTGTTTGGGTTTGTTTGCAACAATTTCGACTCTTTGGAGACATATTATAATTTTTAAAAGATTATATAATTATTCATTAATCCTAATTAACCCCTAATCATGTTAAATTAAGCTTAATAAAAAACAAGGTCATTTAGTTAACATTTACAAACTATATAGTATTTTAATTAAATTTTAACTTAAAATAGTCTTTTAATAAAATCCCCCATTGGTGTGCCGTCCAACACTGTCTTCACCATTATGATTATTATACTATATATCAAGGTTATAAAACCCGGCCAGCCCGGCTGGTTTAACCTGTTTGATCGGGAACTGATGGCTTAGTCAGGTCGGTCAAGGTAGAAAACCGGGAAAAGAAATTAACCCGTTGTGACCGCAGTTGAACTAATGTAGCAACCCGCCGGTTCAACCGGTTTTGTGACAAAATCGGGTTAACTCAAATTCCCAGATTCTAAGATTCAAATCCCTTTTACAATTTTCAATTAAAGACGTGGGCTAATCAACCCAAAAAAAATAACACTAATCAACAAAGCCACTAGAAGAAGGGAGAGAATCCAACTCGAAGAAGAGGAGAAAAAACAAGTGAGAGGAGTTGAATCCCTAGGCCATTGCTGCTACGGTGGCGATGGTGGTGGAGAATGGTGGAGGTGCATATAATAGTGGCGGCACACAACTAATGAGAGAGAAGAAAATGAGGATTTTGTCAAAAAAAGAAGAGTAAATGTGTTTGTGTGTTTTGGTGTAGAAGGCATTCACATTTTGATTAGAGGAAAGCTGAAGAAATCGGAAGAGCTTTAAAAATTAAAATAAAAGAAATGAAAGAGTAAAGAACAACAAAGAGAGTTCGAGAAGGAAGTTGTTGAAGCTTTCTAACTCTACTGTACTCTTCTTCCTTCATGCAATCTTAAGGTGAAAGAGATTAAAAGTAAATAATTTAATTTAATAAATAAAAAAGATGTACTTATATTGCATTTAATGAACTTTTATTGAAAATAAAAGACAAATATTAAATGTTCTTGCAAAAGATGAAAGTATACTGTATTGTATTTAATAAAAAACAAATAAAAAGTTGTTTGTTGGTGGACACGTTTTGATCACATGAAAGGTGAGGGATTCATGACCTAATGAGATAAAGAAGGAGAAATTCGGTGATGAGATCAAGAAGATGATGGTACTGGTCTGATCCACTGGTCAAATCTGTTTAACTGGTTATTCCGGGACTCAGTCACTTGCCTGAGTCACTGACCTGACCGATTTTTAAAACATTTATATATGTATATATATGGAAAGATATAGTAGTTGCACTACAACAATGTCTTCACCGTTATGATTATTATGCTAAGTACTAACCATTAAATTTCACGATTTATTAACATTTTTCTTTAACATTTCCAACTAAAGCATTTCACACTATGGTCAACGGATCGATTTTGTTAAGACAGATAATTTCGTAATGATCAAAATAGCGTCGATAAACATTATTACCTATTGACTCCACACTCGTCAGCCACGTTTGACAAACTTGAAAACAACTCCCGCGTGGATGAAATTAGTCCAATGTTTAAATGAGTAAAGCCTGGTGGAATACCCACTTGCGAGACGTGTACGATGATTTTAGGATATATATAGAATTGAGTAATACTAATATCACAAAGAGGTATATAAAAAAGTATATAAAGAGATAAATTTAACCTTTAAAAAAAGAAAAAAAAGAGATAATTATGAATTTTAAGGATTGAATTTGTTTATTTATATACCTTTTTGTATATTTAGTATTACTTATATAGTAATTGAAGCAAATAATTGATGCTAGTAAGTGGACCCTGACGCAAAGATGTCCTCAAATAACTAGAAATAGCCATTACTGTAATAGCGAATTGACAGAACCTCTTACCTCCGCTCTATAAAATCCTTAGAGAAATTAATTAGGTACATATACATTTCTATATTTGACTTATCATTAACCATGGAGTCCCTCAACATAACCACCATTAGAACCTCATCAGATGGAGTTTGGCAAGGCGATAATCCTTTCAACTACGCATTCCCTTTACTTATTATACAAACTATCTTAGTCCTTTTCACCAGCCGCTTCCTGGCTTTCCTTATTAAACCCCTTCGACAACCCAAAGTCATTGCTGAAATTCTTGTACGTTAATTTCCTGCATGTTCTTTTCACTATATACATAATTGTTCTCTTTTTCTTATTATCTCGTGTTTTTTATTGTTCTCCTTCAGGGTGGGATTTTGCTTGGACCGTCTGCTCTGGGACGAAACAAAGAATACTTACATTTAGTTTTCCCATCATGGAGCACTCCCTTACTCGAGTCAGTAGCAAGCATTGGTCTTCTCTTTTTTCTTTTCCTCGTTGGCCTTGAACTTGATTTAATTTCAATTCGTCAGAACGGCAAAAGTGCTTTCAAAATAGCAGTAGCTGGAACTACACTCCCCTTCCTCTTCGGAGCTGGAGTTTCTTTGTTTCTCAAAAAAGCCGTCTATGCAGAGAAAAATGTGGGCTACGGCCCATTCCTCTTGTTTATAGGCGTGTCTCTTTCCATTACAGCTTTCCCTGTACTGGCTCGCATTCTAGCTGACCTCAAACTCCTAACAACGCAAGTTGGTCAGATCGCCATGGCCGCTGCGGCTTTTAATGACGTTGCTGCATGGGTCCTTTTAGCTCTAGCTGTAGCCATCGCAGGTAACGAGTCGGATCATGAGACCCAAAAAAGCTCATTAGTATCTATATGGGTTCTCATTTCAGGTGTTGCATTTGTTGCTTTCATGTTTATTGCTGTCCGTCCAATTATGAACTGGGTTGCACGCCAGTGCTCATGCGAACACGACGTCGTTGATGAAGTTTATGTTTGTTTAACCTTAGCTGGCGTTATGTTATCAGGATTTCTCACTGACCTTATCGGAATTCATGCCATTTTTGGTGCTTTTGTGTTTGTTTTAACGATTCTAAAAGGATGTGTATTTTCGGTTAGTTTGATGACGAAGATTCAGGATTTTGTGTCGGGATTGTTGCTGCCGCTTTACTTTGCGTCAAGTGGGTTAAAAACCGATGTGGCGAAGATACGAGGTGCGGAGGCGTGGGGGCTTTTGGTGTTGGTGATATCAACAGCTTGTGCGGGAAAGATATTGGGAACTTTTGTGATGGCGATGATGTGTATGATTCCCGTTAGAGAATCCTTAGCGCTTGGTGTGCTGATGAACACAAAGGGATTAGTGGAGCTGATTGTTCTTAACATTGGCAGGGAAAAGAAGGTGAGCCAAATTTTAACCTCGTTTTCATTTCATCATTTTTATTATTAATAAATACCATTACTTCTTTGTATAAAAAATGTTAGAATATATTTCGTCTTTCACATTTAAATTGGATTTTTTAGTTTAATTCTTAAATTTAAAATATTTAAATTTGAAATTTGAAAAATATTATTAATTTTTAAACTAGTATATTGGTAATTTACATGCACGGTATAAGAAGGCTTTAATTTAGGAGTAATATTATTACACTTACAAAGAAATCTTACAAAGTAAGATGGTAAAAAATTAATAGAAGAGTGAAACAAAAAACCAAACTCATTATATTCACTCATTTATTCATTTTTTGCTACATCCCTTTCTATGAAAATCTTTGTTAGATTTATTTATAAGTATAATATTATCATTATTCTAGAGAAATTCAAAAGCAATTTGAACCGATCAATTATCCTACAAAGAGAATAATTGTTGAGTAGGTAAACTCATATGGTAAATGTAATTAAATTTAATTGATTTAATTTGGATCTATTTTTTGAAGAGGGATTTTGACGCACACTTTTGAGGTACATGGTTAAATTATATAAGAACACAGTAAATTAAAAAAATGCATTTTTTATGTGGCATAATTTATTTAACTGGGTTAATTAAGGATATGATTTGTTTGATTAATTAAAAATTATTTGGACAACAAATAATTTGTGGCAATGTGTTATGGTGTTGATCAACAGGTTCTTAATGATGAGATGTTCGCAATTTTGGTGCTCATGGCACTCGTTACTACTTTCATGACAACTCCAACTGTTATGGCTATTTACAAACCCCTCCGCCGTGTTACTACTCAAACTCGACGACAATTGGAGCGAAAATCAGCGAATGGCAAGAAATTAGAAGACGAGTTTCGGATCATGGCTTGCATACACGGTCCTGAAAATGTTCCTTCACTCATCAATGTTGTCGAGTTAATGAGGAACACCAAGATATCCCGTCTCAAACTCTACGTCATGCACCTTGTTGAGCTCACTGATCGCTCGTCGTCGATTGTCATGGTTCAGAAAGCTCGAAAGAATGGCGTTCCTTTCATTAATAGAATCGGTCGAGGCATGTCAAATGATCAAATATTCGCTGCCTTTGAAACTTATAGCCAACTGGGAAGAGCTATTGTTCGCCATTCGACAGCCATTTCATCGTTGTCTTCAATGAATGAGGACATTTTCCATGTTGCGGAGGACAAGAGGGTGACGATGATCCTCTTGCCCTTCCACAAACAGTGGAGAGGAGACGGCGCAGAGGCGATGGATAGCGTTTTACCAGGGTGGAGAGAGGTCAACCGGATGGTTTTACAGAATGCACCTTGCTCGGTGGCAGTGCTCGTCGACCGTGGATTTAATTACGAGTCTAAGATGGTGGGAGATTCCACCGCTTCCATGCCAAAAAGGGTATGCATTGCATTCGTCGGGGGCTCCGATGATCGGAAATCTTTGGAACTAGGCGGGAGAATGGCAGAACAAACAACATTTAAGCTGACTCTGGTAAGGTTCATTGAGAACGACAATGGCTTATCAAGCAACGAGATTAACTACGAGGGGGAAAAGGTAAAATTCTCCAACATGAGTCAATGATTTTAAACAGTGATTATCTAGTGCGCTGAAATGCTATGAGCAGGACCAGGATAAGGCCGCACTGGAGGGATTCAAGAGGAAGTTGAACGAGTCAGTGGAGTACCAAGAGAAGATGATGAGCAACATTAAACAGGAACTGCTAACGATAGGGCAAAGTGGGGTTTACGACCTTGTATTGGTGGGGAAAGGAAGGTTCCCATCAAATATGGAGGCAAAAATTGCCGATAATCAGGCCGAGAACGTGGACCTGGGATCGATTGGAAACATTTTGGCTTCATCACGCTATTGCATTTTATCATCCGTACTAGTGATCCAATGCCAGCACAATGTCGAAGGAAATGAACCTAATGTCTCTAAAACGGTTTCTGACAAGATAATTCATGCAAGGAATATAGCTGAAGAATCCTGTGTGTGAGGATGATTAAGAAATTAATGTGCAGGTCTTTATAGCTCCACTATTCAGATGTACAAGTATGATTGCTGGGGAACCTGAAGTTCATTTCTTAGAAATCAGCTACACCACAGTGTTAAAATATTCTCTTATTTTGTTAATAAATGTATCAAGCATCCAATGCAAATTGAAAATTTGACTCTCGATCTTTGCAGTTAGCTTTTTATGGTAGAAGAGTCGAAATGAGACGATTGAGCATTGACATTCTTGGCATTGAAATCCCTATACTCAACTCCACTAGTCATAAGTATATTAGATAGTTTCCCATCTATACAATACAATGCATAGTAACATTAACAAAAGAATCCCCACATCCATTTTAGATCCAATTTGTTACAGACAACATTCTTATCAGCTGTACTCCGGAAGAAATTGTCATAAATAAATACCATCTTTCACATCATCCTACCCTGACTGCCTGCAATTTTCCTATCTAATTACCACTTATGCATAAAAGGCTTTGCCAAAATATATCACATAAAAAGCGAAGCCCATGTTATGAGAATCCTTAACATTAACCACAAACTTAAAGCAAATAGAAAATAATCAGTTCTTTGAAACATACTAAAGCTTTCGTTAATGTAAAAGGTATAGCATTTGCTTAAAAAAAATACCCATGAAACTAAATTTTCGTAATCATGATCATTGAATACTTGTAATATAGAATCTCAATTTCAAAAATGCTTTTTATTTATCAATATCTCATATAAGGAATCTATAAATAAACGCGATTAGATTTATCAGTAAAAGTTACTTTATAATGAAGAAGTCTAAACTTGAAAGGGAATAATCAGAAATGTGGTTGGTTGAGATTCACGTTGGTCTGTTGCTCTTTTCTCAATTCTGCCACATTTTGTTGCACTACTTGTACAACCAGTGACTTTATCATGTCCATCAACCGACCATTTTTTGGGTTGGAGGTCCCCGCCTTATTGTGGCGGTGGTAGATAGCCATGAGCGACAGTTTGACTCACTTCCTGGTGGGTTGTGTCCACGTTATCATGGTTTCCAATGACTGCCTTGGATCTTGTACGAGCCATAGGGAATTTCAGAGTGAACGATTGTCACTAAAATTGTCTTTTCCTGCTGGGAATAGGAGAGCTTGTCGAGGGCTCTCCTCTTAGTGTCAAATTGTTGATACGAAAAATCTCACCAGCCAGAGAGATCTGATTGACTTGACGGAATTGGAACAAATGTGTGCGTGATCACTGGAATCAGCCATGAATAATAATATGAATGCAAACAATGAATGAACACGGGAAGATTTTTAAAGTGGTTCGGCAAGTTATAACTGCAACCTACGTCCACTGTTGTTTTTATTGCTTAGGGAGGTACAAAAATATGTCTTTTGTCTACAATCAAAGTCTAACCCATGTTGCATTGTTTTTAAGAGTATTTATACATGGTTTTTACAAAGGAAAGAGAGATAAATCTAGGATTGTGATCAAACTTGGTATGCATCTTGTGATTTCTACGATTGTGCACTGAGATCGCGCTGCAATCAATGCTGGTCTTATCTTTTCTGAAATATCAGAGATTAATGCTTATCCTTTGATCCATCAAACAACTGTCAAGATTGGTCGCTTTGATGAGCTTCTACTGGGTCGGGCTTATTTTGGGTTACATTGATTCCAATTCAAACTACAATTCTTTGGGCTTCTCAGATCTTTAAGCTTCTGGAAAAATCACACACAACACTTGCCCCTAGTGTTTGGAGATTGTGTCGAGCTTCGAAAATTGAAGTTGTTCAATTTGCCGCTTATACTGAATTCCTTCGTTGACTTAACTTGAGCTTTATCGTGCGACCTTAATTTCACCCAATGTGACCGAGACTTAGCTTCTCATACAATGATGTCAAATTTGAGTTTTGAAATAGAGGACATAAGGGTAATTTCCAAGCTAGCATGTCATGCATTAAATGTGGCTGGCTTTTGCAGTTATTTTGCTGCACGTGCACTGTGATAGCTGTCCATGTACGGAGTTGAATCGATGTGTGTTTGCCACTCATTGAGTTGAGGTGACGTGCGTCGATGGTTATGATTACTCGGTTTGATGGTTGATCGCCCATCATAGATCGTTGCCATGTGTCACTGTTGAATGGTCCAAATAGCTCGCTAAATGGAAGGCTAAGATTCGTCGCAAAATGAATGGCCCATATCGCTTCCCATCTGATTTCCAACACTATAAAACAGGCTGTCTAGCCCTTATGTGTGAGAAAACTTGTTTTCAACCTATTTTTTCTTCGCTATTTACTCTGACCAACTTTGCAAGCACTTATTCATTGATGAACAATTTTAATTCCTCGTAAGTGCACGAGCAGATATCACAATAGAGTGTGCAAAAGCAAGGGTCGATCCCATAGAGATTTGTAAGCACTCAATTAATCCTAATATATTGTGCCTTAATTAAACAAATAAAATAAACAAAATTTTAAACAAAAGAAATTAAATTGATTACTAAGGAAGCAAAATAAATTCTTAACCAACTGAATTAAATAACACAATTAAAAATTAACTGAAAGCCAATGCACGAAAAACCTAGGTATCTGATTTCACCATAACAATTCGATTCTCTACTAATAACTAATTTATTGTTGTCTCAATCCAATTCCTGGAGTTCAATCTTCCATCATCATGATATTACCGTTTGTTGTTCGGGTTTAACCAAGTATTCTTAACCATTAAACTCATTAGGATGTTTAGTATAGCCTAAAAATAAAGAACCCATTAAGAACAAGAAGTACTCAAAATATAAACCAAATTGTATCTAGCAAGATCTTTGCCTCTACACAAGCCAATCATTCAAAAATCCTATTCAGGTTTGTATATGATGTTTACCTTAAAATGTCTCAAACAATCAATTGTGTTGTATTTCAAAGTTAGCATGTGATGTTTACCATTCTTATTTCATACAAAACATCAAGATCGAATTAAGTGCAATGAATGGAACTATAAATATATTGGATTAATAGAAAAATAAAATTAATCAAAGCATAAAACCATCATGTTAGGTTACATCGGACCCCTAGAAAAGAAATTAGTTACACATAAATATAGAGAAATCAAACCTCAAACCCTTCAAAAACATAAAGTACAAGAGAAAAGATGAAAACCCTAGGTAAGATCTCCTCCCTTGCTTCTCTCAAAGTTGAAGTCTCTTCTCCTTGCCTCTTTCAAAGTTTTAGTCCCCCAAAAAATACCTAAAGAAATCCTTTTATAGTGCAAGGGTTGTGGGAAAGTAATGGGAAAAATCCTATTCAAAATAGGAAAATAAAATTTGGATTAATCTTAAGTTGAGTCCTTGTCGAATTAGGATTTCTGTGCTGACCCTTCAGTACTAAAAACTAGAATATCTTTCTCTAGAAAACTCGGAATAACAAACCGTGAAATTCTACATAAACTAGACTTCCAAAGCTTTAAAAAATATGTGGAACAGCATCCAGTTCATGCTGAGGAATTTATGGTAGCTTCATGAAGTTCCCCTTTTTTATCCATTTCTTCTTAACAACTGCTGCTGGAAAATTGTGCACTAAAAGACTTCCACTTTTTAGCATAAAATCTTCTGAATATGACAAAGAAATAAAAAATATTAATTTCAGATTTTTGAATCAAATTTCCAATGGTCCAAGAATCATCCCAATCTGAGGTCTTTAGCTCAAGTTATCGTAGCAACACCGACACATGTTCCAGAACCTGAGTCTGCTTGTCTTTGATGCACTGACATAACTTTCATATCAATTTTTAACCATATTCTAGGATCACAGCCAAAACAAAAAATTTATATAAATATCTCTTAGATTTCAAACGCCACAAGAATCAGGTAAATTAGAGTTGTGTAGCTAAAGTTACACCCATTTTAGTGCAGCGTGTTCACTCATGCCACAACCCAAAAATCCTTTTTTGCGAACAATATTTTAATATTCATAACTTTTTCATTTGAGCTATGATTCTTAAACCGTTTGCTCCTGCATGATTCTGATTCTTTACTCTTCAACATGTATGCTCAAAATCCTCAGTTTTTAGCACCTAAATACCTAAAAATTCATAATGTGATTCTAGAAAACAAAAGAAGTATCAAAATTAAGTAAAATTAGCAAATTAAACCTAATTCCCACACAACATACCCTTAAAATCACAAAGTATGAGTACAGTTTCAAGCACTCATCATTCATTCCTTTCGCAGCGGCTTTCTAGCGACATTCTTCAACTTCTATTTGTAAGTAAGTGTTCCAAATTTACTTTTCCGGTTTTCTTTTTATTTTGCACTTGCATTTTATTGTTAGGATGGCCATTGTCGTGGCCTAGTTAGTTCTAGGGTTTAAACCATTTAAACCCACTAAGTTGGGTTTTATGAGCATTTAGATGAGCAGTCGCCAAAATCCTTCGTTGGGATTTTGGTTTGGTTGTTAGGAGTCATCGTAGGGTGCTCGTTTGCAAGCTTCTTGGGTGCTTGAACCAAATGCAAGTGTGGATAGGTAGTAACACTTGTTTTTCCGTGTTTCAGGTGCAAGCTACCTAATATGACATCCATCAACCAAAGTATTGATAAACTCTTCGAAGAAGGCTCCTTTACATTTTTGGATGAGTCCAAGGAGAGAGTTCAAGAAAAACTCACAGCCGAGGTATTAGAGAGTAGTCAAGATAGTGGAGTCGAGGGCTCGTGGAGCACAAGCGAGGAACCAGTCACAACAAGACTTCGACAGTTGACTAGACGTAGTAAAAAGTCAACCTCGTTGATTACTGTCGACAATACATATCGCATAAAAGAGGAATATGCGATCGATTGTGCTCTTTTCCTACCGGGTGAATACTCATGGAAGGATCCCCTCGCCAGTTGGGTGGCGATCTCCAAAACCCTTTTGAGTTGTGGAATGTCAATCCTATGCTCACCCCTTTATTGCCAAAGTTTTTGAACACTTAAACCTCGCTCCCCTTCAATTGATAGGGAACTTGTATATGATAATCATAGGGATGTACATAGCATTCAAATTTGCTAGCTTGCACGAGCTATCTGTTGAGCAGCTCGTTCATTTTTATAGCTTGAAGAAAAGTCAAGATGATAAGTACTATCTCTCTAAGGCGAAGAGGAAAGACCTTAGAGGATTAGTCGGGGTGCCAAAGAAGACCGGAAATTAGGACTCATACCACTTCTTTTAGTATAGTGGGGATGTTGATGCCTTTGGGAACGAATCTTGTAGGTTTTCTTGTATTCACTTCGCAATTAGGTGTTTGTTGGTCGGGCTTAAAATGACTTATTCTGTCTCTTTTGTAGGAAATCACGAGCGGAACTACGTGTCGACAAGCTCACTTTTACGACTACAAGCATTTAGTACTCTTTTTTGGAGTGATCACAATGTGACTTCGCTTATCATTTGCACGCACTTGATCGCATTCGAGTTTTGCTAATCTTCGGAAATCTTTACCAACATCTTCAAAGCAAAAGCCAAGAAGATGAAGAAAGGTTTGTGTGACTTGGCTTGCCTTATAAAAACATTTTCCCTTTTCCATTTATATGCGATTTACTATTATTCTCATAGATTCGAAGTACACTAAGAGGCCTAAGAGCCATAACCGGAAGATCTCGGCTAGTGCTATTGTGAAGAAGCAGGCCATAGCTTCCACTCAGTCGAGCGAGGTTGAGCCAAAGTTGACCTCTCAGCCCGCTGTCAAATAGGACTGGGTGTGAGCTTGAAGGGGCTTCAAGCTCGAAGAAGCTTGCAATTGACCCCAAGGAAGTTGCAAAGAAAACCGCTCCCAGGCTTTAGAAGAGATCGAAGAAAAATGTTAGCAAGCTTAGAGAAGGCTCAAAAAGACGGTAGCGAAGTCCCGTATTTTGGCGAGGGACTTGGCCAAGAAAAAAAGCGTTCCGATGGCTAAGGCTACTGGGCCAATAAGCAGCCAAAAAGCTTCTTCGTGAGGGCATGGCAACGAAGAAGAAACCGACAAGCTCAAGGCCAAAATAGATGTATAGCCCAAACATATCACTGCGGGGGCTTCCATCGTAAGGAGCACAGTGTGCACAAGGCTTTATAATGATTATAAGGCGCTGCTCCCACATGAGCAACTTTCTCATGCCACGGGCACAATTTCATGGGTAAATTAGCTTGTTTCTCCTCTTTTTGATTCTTTTCTTTTGTAGAATTATTCACCCTTCTTTTTCTTCCTTTCAAGTTTGCATGTTGAACATTCTCTATCATGACAACTTCGATACACTAGAAAATGCAACCAAAGTTCAAGAAGACATGATGAAGCTTAGAGAAGAAACGTTCAAGAAGACTTGGAAACAAGAAGAGGAGAACAAGGGGTTGAGAGATGAGCTTAATCAACATAAAGTAGAGCAAGCCAAAGTCCTGGCTCTCAAGGAAAGATAGTTTATTGATAAACTTTCTCAGGTCAAGGCTTCCAAGGGCTCATTGACCTAAGATCAAGACCATCTACAAGGTCTCAACAACAAACTAACCTTTAAGCTTACAGCTGCTCAAGCCAAGATTGGGGATTTGGAGAGCCAACTAATAGCTCGAGATTGCGAGCTGTTGTTGTTAGTAAACGGTTCCGTATACGCAGCGGAAACAAATAAAGTAAAATAAAATACAAGGATTGTTTACATGAGCCAAGATCAAGGGTATAATTTTACAATTCATATTAAAGCAAGAATCTGCAGAAATTAATAATCTGTGTTTAGAAACCATACGCACGTTTGGAGGCTCCACCACGATTGTCTTTGAACGTTTTGCTACCGATCCAAGTATAGGATCGAACCCACGTAGTCCACACAAAGACAATCTCAAAAGAACCAAAGAGGTATTTGCTAGATCCTCTTTGGCTTCAAGATTAAGAAGAAAAGAAATCAAATTGAATTGATTTAGGCCAAAGAAAGGTTTCCACCGTGGGAGAAGAAAGTGGAGCTGCTGTGTGTGTTTTTCTTTTAAAAAGAAATCAATTCATTAATTAATTAACACACACACTTTTCTTTTTATAGTTAATCAATTTGCCCTAATCCCATACGAAATAGGCTTGGGCTTCAACCCAAACGCCCCATGTTGCCAAACACTCCCAATTTGATTTATTTTATTTTCCATCATTATCTCAATTAAAATCAATTAATATATATATTTAAATATATATTAACATTTAACAATAATGATAATATATTTAAATATGTGTGAACACACATTTAAATGTAATTTCACTTATTTAATTTTTCTAACAAATTAAATAAAGGCTACGACCTCAGCAAATTTAATTGCACTGTGAAATTACCAAAATACCCTTTCATCTTAAAAGACGAAAACGCCCTTCTTTCTTCTTGGATCTTAAATTGTCTTCTATCATATCGGTAGTGTATAGTATCGTGATTAACACCAATTAATCGTCTCACTAATACACAGACTAAGATTGGCCCCTAGCAAGGCATCATGGCCACCCGATAGATTCAGATTCAGCAAAAGTAGCTACCTATCAACGATATGGTTACCATGCAATTCGATCCTTTCATCATACGTTATCTCGACGAGACGAAGGCATAGAAATAGTGTCAACCTTCGGTTACTCTCGATATTATGTATTCAGTCTCTGGACCAATTACTCGTATTATAAACTGGATAGTGCAACAACTCAATCCCACTGTGGCCATAGTTTTAGTGTCATTGCCATATACTGAATTGCGCCGTGAGATAACTTCTCCCATACCCGGGAGTGATGAATCCTCTGTCAATCCACCATAGTCTTGATACACTCCTTGATGCAGCCAATCACCACCGTATTGACAGCTCTGAAAAGAACTGCGTTAGGCTAGTGTCAAACTATACCAATCGGTGCACAGGGCGCTCCGGTGATCTCAAGTCTAAGGATCAAATGCACAACCATTCGTTAGAGGACTTGTTCCATAGACACTAGTGCTACCATCCATATGGAATCCTCTGGTGGGTCAGTCCAGTGAACTTGCTGCGGTGTAATCACCTACAACAAGCACCCATGTGTTACACCAGGTTGTCACCCAACAACCTTGACAAGTGAGATCAGTCACTGCCTTTCGACAGGGCCGTTCAACACTATGATAGCCTTACTGTATTATCTGTGCCCTTACTTCAAAATAATACTGGGGCTACGGACGTTTCTAAAATGGCTACCATATGTGCTCATAGGGTTCTCACTATCAAGATTTAAAACACTTGATACCCTCGTCACTGTTCTACCATTCTAAGGACATATATCAATATATATTGCAATAATAATGATTTACGCGATATATAATAAAATGCCTTTTATTGATTAATGAATATTATTACAAAGTCAATTCTACAATAATTGATTGGCTCTAGGGCATCTACTCTAACAGTTGTAGGCTCAGCAAGATTGTAAAGAGGTCTCAGCAAACGTCGCCCTTCTGATTGATGAGGATGACATAGTAAAATCCGTCGACGAAGAGCATGCTTGGGAGACGTCGGTAAATTTGGTCAAGCTCATATGGGAGAGTAATCCCTCACTTGACTTTTCCTTCCTCCTCACTGAGTATCATACTGAGGTCGAGAGGACGAGGGCTGAGGTTGCGTGGTTGGAGTTTGTTTACTTAAACAACTCTGAGTTTCATAAAGGTTCGGATGGTGAGGTTGAGATCGAGGAAGAGAAAATTGTGATCAAGAATGTTAGCTCGCCTACTGTTGAGGCAGCTCCTAAGGAGAAAGTCAACGAAGAACACCCCAGGGTGGCTAAGGAAAGGGTCACGTCAAAAGTTCCAACTGATACTTCCAAGGTTGCTAAGGATGGCAGCACCTTGGATACTTCGGCCAAAGATCTCCCTCCAACTTAGATTTTGATTTGTACTTCCTTTTTTGAACAATCCTTGTAATGAAAATATTATGAATGGGAATGGTTTAAGCGTTTTTACTTAATTTTTTATTGTTGCCTATTGTTTTTCTTCGAAGTCAAAGTAACTTAGGTAGCGAACTTAATAAATATTGAGCTCGAATTTGCTCTTGAGTTGTGCTTTTGTCAGCTTTCTCAAGAACTTTTCACAAACAGGTAAGAGGATTTTTTCTCGTGACGATGTCAAGTTCGGGTTAGTTGCCCGTCTCGAGTCTTATTCACCGTGTTTTTAAGTGATTCCTCCTCGACGTGCTTTTCTCGATGATCTTCCAAGTTGCTTTTTTTCGGGTCGTGGGGTACACCCTTGTTGAGCTTGCACTATGGCATGACTACAGAGCTAGGCTGCCTTTTTGAGCTTCTGACTTCGAGTTTCTTTTGTAATGTTTGCTTAGATTGAGATCTCAATAGACTTTCAAAACAAAATTTGGTTGTAGAATAATATTTGTTTGTTTTATATTAATGAAATGTTGACCATAATTGGCCTTACAACTTATAATAATAAAGAACATAAAATAAGAAACAAAAACTGAACCCGAGCCAGTTACTGATAATACTTCTAATGTGCTCAGCATTCATTTAAATATTTTAGGTGAAAAGTTTCTAGTGCGAGCTTTGCTGAAATCTTGAAAGGACCTTCCTATTTGGGCCCAAGTGGAGGCGTCTTTTGCCCCGAGGACAATTTTCTTTAGGACTAAATCCCTTACCTTGAAATCGCGATTCTTTACTTTTGAGTTGAAGTATTTCTTTGCCTATTGTTGATACGAGGCTATTCTTAATTGGGATTTAGATGGGCGTTCTTCGATTAAATCCAATTTTAAGCACAACAACTCTTCATTGATATATTTGTCGAAGACTGATCGCCGAAACGAGCCAACTCCAACTTCCATTGGAGCCATTGCTTCATATCCATATGTGAGCGAGAATGGGACTCTCCAGTCGAGCTTTTGGCCATGGTTCTATATGATCACAATACTTCGAGTAGCTCATATGTCCATCTTTCTTTGAGAGAATCAAGCCTTTTTTGTCATAGTGTACTTAATTACTTTATTTACTGCTTCGACATGTCCATTAGCTTGAGGTCGATAGACAGTTGAAAAACTTTTCCTTACATCGAGCCTTTCACAAAACATCTTGAAATCCTCACAATCAACTTGTTTCCCATTATCAGTTATGATAGTATGTGGGATTCCAAACCTGCAGATTATGTTTTTGTAGACAAAGTCCTTCAATTTGTTTGTTGTTATTGTCACCAAAGGTTCAACTTTTGCCCACTTGGTGAAGTAGTCGACTGCGACTACTGCAAACTTTACTCCTCATTTTCCCTAAGGTAGCAGGCCTATTAAATCAATCCCCCAAATTACGAATGGCCATGGACTTGTTAGAGTTGTGAGCTCTTGGGGTGGAGTTCGAGAAATGTTGGCAAATCTTTGACACTTGTCGCACTTTCGAACAAAGTTAGTTACATCATCATAAACAGTCACTCAATAGTATATCTATCGGAGTATCTTGTATGCCAAAATCGTCCCCTGACATGATTTCCACAGATTCCTTGGTTGATTTCCTTCAGAACTTTGTCCGCCTTTTTATGGTCAACACATCAAAATAGCAGGGTGTCGTATCCCCGCTTGCAGAGCTTTTCATTTATAAGGGTGAAGCGAGCTGACATTGCACGGATGGTTATGGTTTCATTTCTATCCCCAATAACTATTCCATCTTTTAAATAGGCTGTTATAGGATTCATCCAGCTACATCTCTACCCCATTGCCATTATTGCTTCTCCTGATGCGAGGATGTTAAGGCTTTGCAAAAGTTTAATCGAAATTGAGCTCATAGCTTCTTTACTTAATGTTGAAGCAAGGTGAGCTAAAGCATCAACCACTTAATTATGTTCTCTAAGGATTTGTTGCACTGTGTAGCTCTTAGAGGACTCAAGCTCAGAATTTACCTTTCGGAGATAAGATGTCATTCTTTCTTCCTTAGCTTGGTATTCCTCGGAGATCTGATGCACGACGAGTTGAGAATCAATATAAATCTTAATCAATTCTGCCCCCATTTCCTTGGCTAAACAAATTCTTGAGAGCATGACCTCATTCTCTGCTTCATTGTTGGAGGCGACAAAACCGAATCTAATTGTAGCCTGAATTGGATCCCCCTTGGGATCTTCAAGCAGAAGCCTTGCTTTCACTCCTTTTTCATTGAAGGAATCATCCACATATAAGGTTTATTGCCATAGACTTTCAAGCTTTTCCTCTACCGAACTACTTTCATTAAAGTGTTCACTTCAGACGAGCTCAATTCCCTTTTAGGCGGATAGAAAAACTCTGAAATAAAGTCTGTCAGTGCTTGCCCTTTGATCGCTGTTTCTGGGAAGTACTTGATGTCATGTTGGCTCAGTTCTATTATCTATTGAATTAATTGTACCGAAGCCTCAAGCTTTTACATTAGTTTCTTGAGTGGAAAGTTTGTTAGCACGTACACAATATGTGCCTGGAAGTATGGCTGTAACTTCTTAGCTGCCACAAGGAGTGCTAAATCGAGCTTGTCCATCTTCAGGTACCTCGTTTAAGCATCGAGTAACTGCTTGCTTATGTAATAGATAGGCCATTGAACTCCTCATTTCTTGTGCATCAGGGTAGCACTGATTGCAAACTGAGAAACCAATAAATACAATAGAAGGCGCTCACGTGGGACAAGTTTTGACAATAATGGAAGATTTCCTAGGCACCTTTTCAGTTCTTGGAAAGCTTTCTTGCATTCCTCTATCCAATTGAAACCCTTATTGCCTTTCAAGGTCTTAAAAAATGATAAGCATCTATCAATTGCTCGGGAAACAAACCTGCATAGTGCAACCACTTACCCTATCAAGCTATGAACTTGCTTTATTTTTGTCGGGCTCATGTTTAGTAAGGCTTAGATTTTTTCTGGATTGGTCTCAATACCTCGCTGATTCACCAAGAATCCCAAGAATTTTCAAAAGCTTACTCCAAAAGCACACTTCAAGGGGTTCAATCACACACGGTATTTTCTAAGGATATTAAACATCTCGCCCATGTGATGTTAGGAAACGATCATACATGGCAGCGGAAATAAAAATTATTTAAACATTATAGATCGTTCCTTTGAACCAAGATTAGGGCACAAATTTATAATTTATACAACATATTAAAATCTGCATTAAAATAGCTCAAGGTTGAGAAACCATACCCACGTTTGGAGGCTTCTCCAATTTGTCTAGGAATGGGTTTCGCTACTAACCCAAGTGTAGGATCGAACCAATGTAGTCCACACGAAGACAACCTTAAGAAACTAAAGAGGGATTTGCTAGATCCTCTTTAGCCTTTAAGAACCAAGATGAAAAAAAAAATGAAATATTTTCTTCAACCAAAAGAAATCTGGCGTGAGAGAGAAGAAAAAGGGGCTAGAATATTTTGCTTTCAATGAATGAATGAATGAATTAATAATTCACAAAGTGTTGCACTTATATAGTGTACACTTTGCCCTATTCCATCATGGAATAGGCTTCGGCTCCAACCCAAACACCCCTTGTATCCAAACAGCCCCTTTAAGATATTTTAATTTTAATTATTATTGTTATTTCAATTAAATTCAATTAATATATATATATATATATTTCATATATTAACATTTAACAATAACAATAATTCATTTAAGTATACGCGAACACATATTTAACTATAATTTCACTTATTTAATTTAATTAACAAATAAAATAAAGGCTACGACCTCAGCAAATTTAATTACACTGTGAAATTACCAAAATACCCTTTCACCTAAAAAGACGAAAACGCCCTTCTTACAAACTGGTTCTTAAATTATTTTCTATGTGTGTGACCCGTAGGCTCTTTATCATATCGGTAGTGTATAGTATCGCGATTAATACCAATTAATCGTCTCACTACACACAGACCAAGATTGGCCCCTAGCAAGGCATCATGGCCACCGATAGATTCGGATTCAGTGAAACAGCTACCTGTCAACGATATAGTTACCGTACAATCCAATCATTTCATCATACGTTATCTCGACGAGACCGAGGCATAGAAATATTGTCAACCTCAGTTACTCTCGATATTATGTATTCAGTTACTGGACCAATGACTTGAATTATAAACTAGATAGAGTAACAACTCAATCCCACTGTGGCCACAGTTTTAGTGTCATTTCCATTTACTGAATTATGCCGTGAGATAACTTCTCCCGTACTCGGGAGTGATGAATCCTTTATCGATCCACCATAGTCTTGATATACTCTTTGATGCAGCTAATCACTGCCGTATTGATAGCGTTGGATAGAACTGCATTGGGCTAGTGTCAAATTGCACCAATCGGTGCACAAGGCGCTCCGGTGATCTCCAATCTAAGGATCACATGCACCACCATTCGTTAAAGGATTTGTTCCATAGACACTGGGGTTACTATCCATATGAAATCCTCTAGTGAGTCAGTCCAGTGAACTTGCCTACTGCAAACACCCATGTATTGCACTAGATTGTCACCAAACAACCTTGACAAGTGAGATCAGTCACTGTCTTTCGACAGAGTCGTTCAACACTATGATAGCCTTACCATATTGTCTGTGCCCTTACTTCAGAACAATATTAGGGCTACGGACATTTCTAGAATAGCCATCATATGTGCTTATAGGGTTCTCACTATCAAGATTTGAAACACTTGATACCCTCGTCACGGTTCTACTATTCTAAGGACATATATCAATACATACAATGATGATTTACGCGATATAGAATAAAATGTCTTTTATTGATCAATGAACATTATTACAAAGATTCAATTCTACAATAATTGATTGGCTCTAGGGCATCTACTCTAACATGTGATCAGTGTGACTCTTTGCGACTTGGGTTTGCCAATTTGTTTAGCAAACATTTTGTTAACTAAACGCTGATAGGTCATTCCAGCATT